TTGCCTCTCTCACTCTCGTCCTCAAGCTCTTCCATCTCTCCTGGTCCAGCGAAGTCCGATCCTCTGCGAAGCGCAAGTTGTTATCTTTGAGAAACTGGGACTTCTTGGCAGCTTTCCATAAGGCACATAACCCGTGAGGTGAATTGCATGATAACGGCGTGAGGTTTTGTGTTGTCATCTCTTCTCCCTAGCCGATGCACAGTGTCAACAACATCAGGGTCCTTGCTCTTGGCCTCGGGATGTCTCGCTGCAGATTCGAATGACCTCGGATCTTATATCTTCCTTGAAAGTCTCAGGCACTCCAAACAATCTCAAATTCCACCTGCGAGAGTATCTCTCTAGATCAGAAATGCGTGCTTCCCAGGTGCTTGTGAGACGTTCTTGATCTTTAAGCCTGGAATCTACATCTTTCACATTCTTCTTTAGATCTTGTACTTCGGCACACACAAAGTCTACCATTTTCTTCAGCCCTTCTATCTTCAGAGAATTGGCGCGGCAGAGTCAGCCTGCTCGTTTGGACTTGAAGATTTACCTTTTTTGTGAGCAGGTGGCTTGCTAGGAGTGACAGGTAGTGAAGTCGCGCAGAGATCTAGCTCGTTTACAGCAGGAGAAGCATAATCGTGGACATCCATACTGATGTCGACAATGTCTGCTGGACTTTCAAATCCGTAAAGTTTTGTCAGGAGCTCTGAAAACTTTGTCTTAACAAGGCGCCATCTTGGACCTCCCCCTGTTAGAAAAGAAATGCGACGAGATTTTGCCCTTCATGACAACTGTGAGGGGAGTGAATTTTTTTTATAACTCATCCGTTTAAATTATTTATTTAATTAATTATTTATTTATTATTTAAGTTCTGCATAATTAAGGGCGTGGCCACTTGAGTGACAGATGGATTGCCGCTGCTGTCACCACCGTCGAGCTAGGTGGGCATGGTTTCAGCAACCAGCTCTCGCCACTTTGCCCATTTTCGATTATCTGGGAGTGACGCACTGCCAAGATGGCAATGGCCCGCTCTGCCCACGTTGAGCTTCAAAAACACTCTTCAGTCACCTACGGGTGACGTCACGGACACTTCGTCCATGTTTTTATACAGTCTATGGTTTCAATCTAGCATGTGTCCTGATCCCGTTCCCTTCTCCCTCCCTCTACTTTCCTGTCTACCTCCACTGTCCTGTCAGGCACAAAATCCCATAAAAATGAGGAGGTGTTTCTGAAGGATTCTAACCTGGCTGATGTCAGGATCCTTATTATGAGCCCTTGGTATTGAGCTGTAGGCTGCTTGCGCATTAGAAATCAGGAACACAAACCTGCCAATAGACACTGAACTGGAAATACCTGAGCTTACGGTCACATTCTGAGAGCCAACGGTCACTGCCAGGATGTGTTTACAAAAGAGAGTGAGGAAAGATGAGGAGCGGGTAGGAAAGAAGATGAAAATGTTTGTGTGTGTGTGTGCAGTGAGAGAGGCTGTATTACAGAAGAGTGTTCTGTAGTGACTCAGCTCCTTGCACCTGTTGTCTTACCTCAGAGAGTCATTCAGCCACCATATACACAGCTGCAGAATAGACGCATTATGAAACATAGCTCAGTTCAACTGATCTGACTTCGAAACTTTCAAAAGCATTTTCATGTTTCGTTTAGCCCCAGACCTTAAGGACAAATGCTACATTTGGTTTCACTGAATAGACTCAAACCAAAAAAAAATTATGAATTCAGTGGGCTGCTCAGGCTATTAGCTGAGGTGATGGTTTTATATTTCTGAGTTGGCTGACATTTACATTCACAAAGAGACACTTTGACAGTGTCATCTGCTCTGCCAGAACATTGAAACAGAGCGAGTATGTTTGTGTGTGCACTTCAGTGTAGGTTTGGTCTTATTAAAATTGCCTTGAGTCCTTGCCACTAGCACCTGCATGTGCATTATAACGTTGATTTAAAATAAATTTAGTTTTTATTTTTATTTTTTTTAATGTGGACAAACCATATAGAATTTATCAGCTATTGGCCATAAAATAAAATAAAGATTAGTTATAGTCGATGAACATCAAACTGAGAGGATAAAAACATTTTACTATTTTAAAATTAATTTAACTCACAATTTTTCTGATATTTTCCTAGAATAAGTTAGAATAAGTAAAAACAACTCCAAATATTATATCTGGGCCATAACCCTCTTTTTCTTTCTTTCAGAACCCTCTAGGAACCCTCTAAATGGAGATGCCATATTTCAAGAATAATTTTTGGGTAAGTCTGTCACATTTCTTATGCGATGGGGTTTTTAATGTTTCAGCTTTGTAGCAGTACAGTAAGAGTGAATGTTTGGTACAGTTGCCTTGTAAGCAGTTTGGAATTCATATGCTGACTGTTTTAGTCGCATCATTGAAAGTATGAAGGAGGGATGGAGTGAGGATAGAACAAAGAGAGTAAAAAGTGAGAGAACAAAAGCAGAGGGCAGGGGCTTTGTCAGCTTTCCCATGAGGACAGCCGTGCTCTGCTCTTTCAGCAAACCTGGCAAGGCTATTTCAGGTGCGTCCTACTTTAATACCCAGTCTGCTCTCAAAGAACGAGGGAGAAGAGGGGGAAATCAAGGCAGAACGTTGAGGAACCACTGCTACTGAATACAGGCCACATTATAAGAGTACGGAAGCCTTCCTACCTGATAAAGTCGTCCATATGTTAAAGGAATTTACAACATCTGTGCCATCAGATTAGTTTTAGAGATACTTTTGTTGTAATGTGGCATTTTTGCCTGCCTCTAAACATCACTTGAAAGTAAACGGCATACCGTGATCCTGTTTAAATAAGAGTGCTCCAATCCGGATTTTTGGAGCCGATCACCAATCGTCGATCACAGGAAGCAGTATCTGCCAATATGATCACCGATCACCGATCTTTTTGAAGCCTTCTTTTTATCATGTAGAATTATTTATAGTGATGCTCCAATCAGGATTTTTACAGACATTCATTCAGGGCTGAATTTCATTTTTGAAAATGGGGGGAATTGCTCTCTTAGGTGATTCTTGTGGGGGTATTTTTTAATTTGAGGGGTGGAGGCAGGGGGCTTTTTTTTTATTTTTATTTTTTTTATATTTTTCGAACATATATAATTATCTCACCTAAATGTTTGATAATGCAGTGCATTTTGTTTTTACAATGGGGCAGTTGCTGCACAATAGCTTACACACAGAAGTTCTGCATAATTAAGGGCGTGGCCACTTGAGTGACAGATGGATTGCCGCTGCTGTCACCACCGTCGAGCTAGGTGGGCATGGTTTCAGCAACCAGCTCTCGCCACTTTGCCCATTTTCGATTATCTGGGAGTGACGCACTGCCAAGATGGCAATGGCCCGCTCTGCCCACGTTGAGCTTCAAAAACACTCTTCAGTCACCTACGGGTGACGTCACGGACACTTCGTCCATGTTTTTATACAGTCTATGGTAGAGACGTTATTGCTTGATGACGTCAGGAACCGATGAATCGGCTTTTTTAACCGGTTCAATGAGCCGATCTGTCCGAAAAGAACCGGTTCGCAGAAATGAATCGGACTTTGCATCACTAGTATGGAGCCCCTAAAGGGACATGGGTATGGCCGGACTTACCATTGGGCTTGAGTGGGCTGCAGCCCATGGGCCCTGCCTTGTAGGGGGCCCCGCCTTTGCCCATTTGATTTGTTCGTTATATGCCAGTCAGAATTCAGAAATTATTAGCTGCATTTCCACTGTGCACGCAAGATCTAAACGGGCCAGCCTGGGCTACAGCTTACAACTACGACCTTCGACGCCACAATCAAACAGCATAAACTGGCATTTATGATTATTTCACAGAGAAGAAGGACAAATGTATTGAATTGCGTCTGCAGTGATTGGTTTATCACATGGCTAAACAGCTCCATTAAGCCTTTAGCCCCAAAGAGCGCACATTTAGAAAGATAATGATAAATTCTCAAATGTTCACACCTCATTTTTATTTATTTTTTTACAGAGGATGATTCTATATTACTATATTAATGTTCCAATAAATTATGCAATCATCTGATGAGTTTTGAGAGCTTTCTCTCGTCTTACTGCCATTACACATAGTGGGGAAGTAATGTCATCAAAATGATTTTAAATAAAAAATAGCAATTTAACAAGTTTCTGTTTTTATAACATAGCTATGCCTTTATTTCAGGGTTTTGATCTCTCAACTGAGAGAACACATCCTGTTTCTTATATTATAATGAATATTTAATATTACATTTAAACTTTAGCCTAGACATGTTGCATATTAATTGTACTATTTATTAACCTCAAAGCATATGTTTGTGTATTTTGTGTTACTCCATAATGATGTTCTATTTGAGAGCATTTGTAGTGTAGGTATAGCAAACATAACTAACCTCAAGCCCAGGGGCCCCCGCCCCCCTAAGTCCTGCCCAGGTTGTACCATTTAAAACTAAGCAATGTGTAGTGCAGATTGGATAACAGCGAGCGTGTTTTGTTCACTCGCTCTGAGTCGAACTTGTTGGAAGCATCAAGCGATTTGCTGCTTATTTAAATTCCCCGCAGAATTCTTTATTACAAAGCACATTTGGAAGTCAGACACCCCAATCCATTTTAAACATAAGAGCCATGTCACACAGCATGCGTTTTGTTGTTCCACACCCAGACTTTTTTTATGTGTATGCTCAACACGGACATTTTTGTCCAATATGATGCTGCCTTTTCAGAAACTTTGACTATAGCCTAGACATGTTGCATATTAATTGTACTATTTATGAACTTCAAAGCATGTTTGTGTATTTTGTGTTACTCCATAATGATGTTCTATTTGAGAGCATTTGTAGTGTAGGTATAGGGCCCAAACATAACCTCAAGCCCAGGGGCCCCCGCCACCCTAAGTCCTGCCCTGGACATGGTGGAATAAAAATCGAGAGGCAGTTTTAACATTAAGGCTGTGTTCAAAATGGCATACTTGCTTACTGCCCAGTACACCGTGCATACTGCCTACTGTTTTTTTAAAGAATAGTGTGTGAAACAGTATACAATACGCAACAAATGTTTCAGAGTAGTATGCTAAAGAGTTGTCACATGACAAACACTGAACATTAATTCAGCACAGCTGTCGAGGCTGTTACCTTTCCCCTTTGTTTTGCTTCCTCCAGCTAGCGCTGTGACGTTGTCTGACCCTAGTTACCTGTGGTTGGCCTGGCCATGCATCTCTCAGAAAACAACAGGCCAATCAGAAGAGAGGCTCATGAATATTAATTAGACAGGCCAAAACCGACCTGTTCTCAGCAGAGCTCCTGAGAGAGGAGCTGTAAAAATATATTGAGATGGTTTTTGGTACTTATACCGCAAATATATATTCTTAAGGACATCAAGACTTAAAATAAAACTCCACAAAGGTGTAAAATATGTGACCTTTAACTGAACAATTATATTTTTGGCAGTTACACTAAGTGGAAAAAGTTACATTAAGTGCAAATAATGATAAATTCTGTTTACACTAAAAGAGCAGCATTTTCTTTATCAACAGGCGTGTAAAGATGGCAGATATTTATACTTCAGTGCTGTAGTACATTATAAAACAGTATGCAATAACATATTGAGTGTAAATTATGATACTTCTAAATTTATTAGATGAATGCCACTTTATTGGGACAAAAACCTCCCTGCACCTACAGCTAAGCATACCTAATAACACTGTATTAGTAATGCAATATTATTATTTTATTTTTTATTTCCATTTTTGCAATTATTTATTTTTTTATTGAAAATAAATGCCTTTCTGATCTGATGTGTGATGGGAAAAGGAGAAACACGAGTTTGGCAAAAGGCGGATTTGAACAAGGGTCAATCGCTTTAATTACTTTGTGTTTTACTTGCTGCGCCACTGATCCTGTAGACTAGAGCAACACGTGTTTTTTGCAGTGCTGTTTATTGCAGCCAGGCATTGCTGGGCGGAGTTACTGTAAATAGCCTCTGCCAACTTGTCCTTAAGAGTAAAAACATTCAGTTTCTTTTTAGAGCCGAATTGAATTCTGTTTGTATAATTGAAATATAATTTTTATATACAGTATGTAAACATATAGCCTATATATTTTATATATGTTATTTATATATTAGGCCTATATTACTGAAATATTATTATTATTTAATATCTTTGAAACAATCTGTACTGTATAAAGCACTATAGAGATAAAGGTGACGTCATTTGACTTGATCGGAAACGTGCCGTAGAGATTAAAGTACAATTTATGTCCTACTAACAATATTGTTTTTAGATACACAGCGATAGTTTGTAGTTTACATGTATATGTATATACGCACATACAAAAGTGTTACATTTATAATTACTATTCCCTGCCTCCAGTTCACTCGCGTATTTGAAGATGAAACGCCACATGGAGCGCTTTGCTTTGTGGGAAACAGTAGGCTATCCCAAAGCTCCGCATTTTCCTTTGCCATCTTGGACACTTCTTTTCCAAGGTTACTGGATGCAGATTTACAGTCCTTGATCTCCTTTGCGTTAAATTCAACACCTTTTGACAGTTCGGCTATCATTACCGTATTTTGCCTTAGTTGCATCCCGAAACCCTCCATCATGGTTGTCAAATTATTTATCGCGTCAAGAATGGCGGCGTTGGAAACCTCAGGCTGACCATCCCCTTTTACTTTTTTTTGAGGTACAGGAATTTTAGTAGGTGTAGATTCCAACGGTCTCCTTACACTCACTGATTGAGTTTCCATCAACTCTTCAACAACAGGGGCAGCGTAGTCGTGAGACATTAATGCGTGTGCACCCAAAGAAGCATCACTTGTTGCAGCTGTCTTCGGTTTCGGCATGTTTTTTAAAGAGTCACAAAAAATTACTAAACAGTATGCAGTTATGCACCTTAGTTACACTTTCTCGCGGTTGAATCAACTAATTAAACTAAACAAGAAGGACAAGCAACACAAAAATTTGGGACTGATGATCAGAGTCACAACAAAGTACGTGTGCTCAGTTCGCCATCTTGCCGGAACCCCTCTAGTGTCTTCAGATGCATACATCAAATTTCAGCAAATGTAGTAGGTGATCCGGGCATTCCATGCATACAGAATTCACATACTATTCACAGTATACACATAGCATACTGCAATATTGCTGTTAGATTTATAATGTTTAGTAATTATCAGTCATGGTGCTGTTCTGTCTATTCCACCAATTTCTGCTGT